GAGACTAAGTAAGGAGAATATCTTCATGCCCTTGAGGACAGGCAATGACTTCTAAAGTAGGCCACAAAAAGCACAATCCGTAAAGGGAACAATTGATGAAGTGGATTTCATTAAGAACTTCTGCTCATCAAGACACCATTAAGAGAGTGAGAGCAAACCACACGGTGGGAGAAGAGATTTGCAGTAGATCTATCTAACACAGGACTCATACCCAGAATGCACGGCGAAGTCCGCAGATCGATAGGAAAAAGGAAACACGACTTTAAAAGGGTGGGGAGCAAAAGACTTGAAAAGGCACTTCATTAAAAAGGAATATCCAAATGGCCCCCAAAATACATCTGAAAGGGCTCAACATCATCAGTCATCAGGGAAATGCAAATTGAAACTACAATAAGGTACTACTGGGGTCCTGGTAATATTCTAGTTCATCACAAGGGAGGCAGTTTTGCAGGAGAAAATTCGCTGTGTCGTACACTTAAGGATGTGTACGCTCCTCTCTATATAGCATACTTTAATAAAAGTGTTTCCTAAAAAAGAGAGAGACTTTAGAAATAACATCAACCAAATGGAATGTGTAGACCTTGTTTGGATCTTGCTTCACACAAGCCAACTGTTCAAAGAGATTATGAGGGCCCTGGCTGGTGTGGCTCAGCGGATTGGGCGCTAGCCTGTGAGCCAGGGGGTTGCTGGTTCGATTCCCAGTCAGGGCACATGCCTGGGTTGTGGGTCGGGTCTCCGGGGTGGGGGCGGGGGGCGGTGTGAGAGGCAACCACGAAAGAGCAGACTTGGAACAGAAGCCCCTGTGGCCTTCCTGACCGGACCCTCCTCACCTCGTCCCTATCTAGCGCCACCACAGTCACCGGGGGCTGCCCCGGCCAGCTGGCTGGGCTGGAGCTCCTGCTGGAATCGTCAGGTATGAATTCCTCCACAAGTCAAGTCTGCCTCTTTCTTACTCTGGGGTCCTGCACTAGTGTAGGCTTACACCGTACAGAAACCCTCCTGAGACAGATTCAGGGCGTTGTAAAAATAACCCGGCTGGGGCCTCCTGACTTAAAACGTCACCCAGGAAGCCCTCCAGGCCTGGAGCTCTCCTTGCTCACAGGGAGAGAAAAGTCAGCCATTTCTTACGGCGCTCCTTCACCAGCTCAAGGCGTAACCTGTGATCTCCAGGCTACATCCAGCTTAGTGCGCTATCCCTTTTAGGCGGAACGCAGCATCTCAGCAAGGGCTTCTTGGAGAAATGAACTGTATCTCTGATAAGGAGCTCTCAGGCACTCCCTGTGGTAGCTTTCAGAGGAAGAAAAACCTTTTACTTTCCCTCTTGGGCTCACTTATCTGCTACTAATTAGGCTGATGAAACGAGGAGAGCTTCAAAGGTGAGGCCCCAGGTTTCACTGACACAAAAAAGGCAAAGTTCAAACATTAACTTACAGGACTTGCTTCCCTTCCTTCTTTTGACCCCTAGCAATTTAAGCAACGGGGGCTTTTCCGACCAATATCAGCCGTCTCTGAGAAGCAGTGCAGTGTCCAGGGTGAGCACACAGCTCTCCACGTGCCAGCTCTGGGCCCTCGAGTTTTCTGTGCTCCAGTTCCTCGCCAGCCCAGGAACTCGGGGGTCCCAGTCGCATGCACGTCACCAGGCTGACGAGAAAGTTAACTAGTGCAGTCTGCAGAAAGCACTGAAAACAACGCCTGGTCAGCGGTAGCTCATAGTGTTACTTTATTATCGCCAGGGACCTGCCGTGGGCATGCGCCGCGGCTGGGAAGGAAGGCTGAGAACGGGAAGGGCGGACACTTGGAAACAAGACGAGAGGAGCAGCGCTGTCGAAACTCTGCGGCCAGTAGACGTGCGGTACAAGCACATCTATTCCTATCCATGCCCGTTGTGTTTGTCAGTAACTTAGGGACAGCGACCAAGGTAGTCTGGGATAAGGATCAGACGTGGAGCGGGAGACTAGCCATACATCCTCCTGGTGCAGACGGGCACTCAGAGAGGCTGCTCGCGTGGGGAGGCGGCAGCCCTACTCCCAGCAGAGGAAACGGGGAGTCTCGGAAGCCCGCCGGTCCTGGTTCAGCCAAGCACGGCCCCGCCAGCCGCGGAAAGAAGCTGAGCGCGACTGTTCTGTTCTTTTGCTGTCGATAACTGGCACTCATAACATTTCAGCTATTACAATGTTTCATATGTGCATATACATTTAATATTATTTAGTAAAGAGCACAATTTTAGAATAAAAATAAAGAAACCCAGAGATCTTTTCAAGTGTTTTTTTTTAATTTTATGAATAATTATCTACTGTACTCTTTCAAATTTTTAATTTTTAACACTTCAGCCATTAGGCCATTTCTTCCATACGGGCTGCGCATACATATGCAGAAAACTCACTTTCTCATAACAGTCAGAACCTGTTTGTTGTTAACAATCATACTTGTGTTTCACCCTCATTTTCAATGGCTATGATGGTGCCAGGAGGGCGCGGGCAGCGTGTATGAAACTGGGAGCGGGGGAGGCAGCCCCAAGGGCCAGTTGTCTGCTCTGCCGGGGCTCCAGGGGCTATCAATTATTCATCTACTTCTCAAAGTTAATAAATAGGAATGTCTTTTGCCCTTTATCCCCCAGATGAATTTAACCAAATGAGAGGCGGGGGTGTGTCTCTGCAGAGTTAGCCATCTGAGAACACAGGCGGTGCGGGCAATGGAAAGGAGATTTTTTTTAAAAAACAAATATTTTTAGTGCCTATTAAATATGCACAGCACCGCTTTATCTGGCATGTTTTTATTACGATTAAATTCTCATGAATACGTTTGATGGTTCTAGGATGTAGTTTTAAAAATGTAAGTGCTTTAAAAATATAACATTTATTAATACAAAAAAAGAAAGCAGAATTCAAATAACATGTCGTCACAGTCAAAGCTTACATATAGCCAGGAAACGCAACACTGAAGGGGAGGAGCAAACAGGAAAAATGAGAACCTCCCTCCTCGCCACCCCAGTCTTTCCAGCCAAAGGTTAACCACTGTGTGTGCTTTTCTGTCCTACAAGGGAAAAAATGTATGCACACATATTCATTTTTTTACCAAAATGAATCACATTATGCACATCTGTTACATGCTTTTTTACTTGACTCCACACTATTCCATATCCGTACACGTGACTACCACATTCTGCTTGCTCTCACACACAGTTCTTCAGAGAGTATCATCACTGCACACGCAGCTTAGCGTGAACACGTGTTTGGTTTTTGTTTTTCAGTGTGACCCCCCACGAAAGTCAGGGTGGCGCATGCAAGCTGCTCCAAGCGGCCCACCCAGCGGTGCAGTGAGAGAATAATCCAGCCTCCTTGGTTCACTTGAGCCCCTCCGGAAAATTTCCTGAGACACTGTGACTTCCACCCTGTGGGTCTCAGGAACGGCTTGAGGGAGCTACTGAGCAAAGGACCCTTTTCTGCTGACAGAGCTGACTCTTTCTACCTGTTCCCTTCTGGGTGTAAAGGCGTGTGTGACAACGCAGGAGCCCTGCCTCTGCACTCGGGCCCACCCGGGGCCACCCCAGCCGACTTCCAGCACGTACCGAACATCCAGGGCACGAACGGGATGCTTGTAGAAGGGGCAGAGAAGCAAGCGCTGCAGAGCTGGGCGTGGGACAGCAGGCCAGATGGCCAGGCGACCACGCCCTTCACTCTATCACGCAGCTGCTGGGAACGCCGGCCCACGGAAGACACCAACACGCACAGGTGGGTGGCAGAGTGGCTGGGTGGCAGAGTGGGGTCCAAAAGGGGCTACACAGTGCACGGCTCAGGAATATTAGTAACAGTAAAGCCTTCTCCCGTCTTTGCACTCGGTGGCCTCAACTCCTTTTGGAAATGATGGAGGATTTAAATTTTATTTCACAACCTTTCAACACAGTCTTTTTCCAAATACCTGTTACATCAGTTGACTCACACATCAGTTCTACGAGGCAAGTAGGCCAGTGTCACTCACTGCGCCCACTTCAAAGGTGACATGACTGTGGAGCAGCCAAGTTAAATGACCCGCCCAAGGCCAACTGGCTGAGTGTTCCAGCTCCAGGAACTGTGCTCTTCCCGAGTTCTCCCAAGCCCACCCATGTCCAACAAGTCTGGCACACCAGTTCTAGAACTCCAGACAAAGAAAAGCTAGGAATGAAGCTAGAGAAGTGAATATAAATATATCCCTCCCCACGGATGCCTGAAATCCTGAAAACTACCTCTTCCTCACAGAACGTTAATAAATTGAATAAAATTAATGTTGCTGAGTACCAGGTTAAGATACCAAACTTAAACCTTGACATAAGAATAATAGTCTCTACTAGTTTTACAGAAGGCATCTGTGGAAATTTGGTTTATATTTTAGCATAAACACCATGTATCTCAGCTTTTTAAAGAAACTTGTAGCTCAATTTTTACAATTAAGACACTGCCTTGGACAGTACTAGTGATTTGTCATTTAGATACCTAACACCTATTTTGTTCTTTCTTTTGTTTGTTTTTTTTTTAGAGAGAGGGGAAGGGAAGGAGAAAGAGAGGGAGAGAAACATCAATGTGTGGTTGCCTCTTGAGCGCCCCCTACTGGCGACATGGCCCACAACCCAGGCATGGGCCCTGACTGGGAATCGAACCTGTCACCCTTTGGTTCCCAGGCCAGCGTTCAATCCAGTGAGTCACACCAGCCAGGGAGTGCCCTGACAACTATTTCTTGAGTTTCTGTCAGCCAGGACTGTCCTAGATGAGTGTTTTTCAAACTTTTTTTGAAAATGTCCTAAGTATACATGTCCACTTATCTTTCCTCAAAGACAACATCAACCTCTTCCCCCAAATCCAGCTCAGTCTTTTCCAGGAAGACGGTGGAAAGGGAGAAGGTAAATCAAGGGGACAAAGGTCTAAAATAAGCTCCTCTCTGATGACTTGATGAAGGGAGTCTTAGCAAGTTAAAAAACAAATTACAAGCAGCCTTCAAAGCTGGAGGCCGACACAGATGATACTCACGACAGTCAGGACTGGGAGGCTGGAAGTCAGGAAAGGCTCTCCCGAGGAGGTCCCATTGACTGCAATCAGAAGGGTGGGGAGACAGTGGAGGGTGCGGTCAGAGAGCTCGGGGACTTCATAAATGCAGAATTCTAGTGAAGTCAGCCTCGGGCACATAAAACACAGGAAGGCTGGGCTAACCCTGTGGAGTGTCGACAGCAACTTTGTCCCCTTTCTTTTTCTTTTTACCCTTTTCATGAAGTGCGAGCCTTGCCTGTAGCTACCACTCACTGATTGCTTGCTCGATAAAAGCTGTAGACTATGGACCCCATAAATCATTACGCCATAAATCAAAAATCATAAAAAATGATTTTTTTGCCAAAATTAAGTTTCATATCAACAATAACAATAAAATTAATAAGCTGTGTAAAGTTAACATACAAACAGGATCTCTGAAGGTGTTAACTAATAATTCAGGCTCTGCCCGACACAGTGATGGGGCCTATGAACCTTAGCTAGGTAGCCGGGTCTCTCCCAGGTGAATAGCACACCGAACGTGTCACCTTGCAAGGACACGGCCACCTGGCAGCGATGTAAGAGCTGAGAACCACAGAGCTAAATCTCCGTGGGACCCTGCGCTGGCCTTCCTGTCCCTCCTTCCGGTCTGAGAATCCACAGAGCTCAGATTCTTGACTCATTTCTCATAAGCATCATTTTTTAAAATGATTTTTCTATTAAAAAGGGCTGTCTCCCGGGGCCTCACAAAGTTACTCTGAGTTACTAATTCCGTGAAACCCATGGATCTAAGATGCCTTAGTTGAGTCTCTAGCTTTTCGACAGGGGAACCATTTGGGAGAAAGATTTGTTTTTTCGATTTCTGAGAAAACGTTTGCACATATCAGGCGTGTATACTACCGACCGCACTCGTGTAATAGTTGTTTGGGGTCCCGCCGAGCAGGCCATTCACCCACGGTCACGATTCAGCACCGTTTTACATCCCCGGGAACAGGTAAGTCACGGTGACCCACAAGCCTCCCATTTCACCCCGAGCTTCAAGCCCCGAGCCCGAGTGGAGGCTGCACTCTCCGCAGGAAGCCCGTCTGGGAGGCAAGTGCCGGCTCCGCGTTCCTGCCGCCTAAACGGGGCGGTGACTCAGGCGGCAGCTGGACCGGAGGAGGGGGCTCCGCGCCGGCCGAGCGCGACCCCCGCCCCGGCCCTGCCCCCGCCGCACACCCGCGCGCCGCCCGCGGCTGCCCGTCCCCGCCAGGTGCGGCTGTGACAGGTCCCCTCCGCTTCCGGAGTGGCGCACGGGTTCTCCTCCGCGCCTGTCAAACCTCCCGGGGTGGCCCCGGGCCGCCCGCGCGCGCGGCACCCGGCCGCGGGACCCCGGGGTTTTCCACGCCGCACGGAGGGGGGGGGGCGGGGGTCCCGGTCTTAGTCCCGGCCGCCGCGGAGTGCGGGGACAGGGCCTACCCTCGGCGGCGCCCCGGAGTGCGGGCCGGTCCGCGCCCCCCGCGCGCCCCCCGCCCCCCAGCCGGGGCCGGGCGACGCGCCGTCCCTCCGCGCGCCTGACACCCGCAGGGCACACGCGGTCGTCACGCACACACTCGCGCCCCGAACGCGGCCCTGCGGCCCGCCGCCGGCCTCCGAGGGCGGGGACAGACTTACTCCTGGCCGAGGCGGCCCCGCCGGGCGCCGGCGGAGGCCGGGCCCCGCTCCCCGGCGGGTCGGGTCGGGGTCGGGTCGGGCCCCGCCGGCCCGCGGGCACCCCGCCCCTCACGGTCCGGCCGGCCCCCCGCGCACGTGCCGGGTGACAGGCCCCCTATAGGTTCCATACCTGCCACCGGAAGTGAGTGAGGAGGGCAGTATAGGCATTTCCTGTGACGCGAGCGCCTGGACTCCATTAGGCAGCAGCTGGGGGAAGAATCAACACACCAGGGAGCGGAGCGGAGCGGACCCGAGCACAGAGGCGGCAGCTGCCTCCGCTGCCGCCCGTCGCCGCCGCCGCCGCCACCGCCGGGGCTCAGCCCAGCGGCGGGCCCCGCGCCCCCGCAGCCGCCCCGCTGCGACCCCCGGGCCGCGCACCCCGAGCTGCCTCCGGGAGGGGGGGGGGAAAGGGCCCGGATCCTCCTTCTCCCCCTCCTCCTCTCCCTCCTCCGCCCCTCCTCTCCCCCCGACCCTGACCCCCCGCCCCGGCCCCCCCTCACCCCCGACCCCCCGCCCCGGCCCCCCCGCCTCCCCTCCCCCCCGCCTCGCCCCCCCGGCTTCCCACCACGGCCTCTCTCGGCGAGGAAACTCTGGCCTCCGCTTCCTCCTCCTCCGACTCGGACACCGGCGGAGCCTCCCCGCCCCCGCGGAAGAAACCCCGAGCCTCGGCGGCGGAGGGAGCAGGAGAGCCCGGGGCTTCGGCAGGCAGAGCAGGCCTCTCCCCTCCGTCCTCGTCGTCCTCGTCCTCGTCGTCCTCGTCGTCCACCTCCTCCTCCTCCTCCGTGGTGGTAGTGGTGGGACTCCCCCCGGCTGCTGCCCCTTCCGCCGCCGCCGCCGTCCCCCACCGAGGTAGCGGCCACAGCCTGGTCAGCGGCGGCATCATGCAGGCCAACGGGGCAGGAGGAGGAGGAGGAGGTGGCGGCGGCGGCGGCGGAGGGGGCGGCGGGGGCCAGGGACAGACCCAGGAACTCGCCTGCCTGTCGGCCCAGAACGGGGAGTCGTCCCCCTCGTCGTCGTCGGCCGCGGGGGACCTGGCCCACGCCAACGGGCTCCTGCCTTCCGCCCCCTCCGCCGCCAGCAACAATAGCAACAGCCTGAATGTCAATAACGGGGTCCCCGGCGGGGCCGCCGCCGCCGCCGCCACCGTCGCAGCTGCCTCCGCCACCACGGCCGCCTCCTCTTCCTTGGCCACCCCAGAACTGGGCAGCAGCCTCAAGAAGAAGAAACGGCTCTCCCAGTCGGACGAGGACGTCATTAGGCTAATAGGACAGCACTTGAATGGCTTAGGGCTCAAGTAAGTATCCTTTACAGGCAGCTGCTGGGGACCGACCGAGGGGCCGAGGCTGCGGGGGAGGGGGCTGCGAGGGGGCTGCGACGGGGACGTCTGCTGGGCACCGGGGGCCCGGGACACGAGAGGACGCAGCCCAGACTGGCCGACCCCGGGAGGAGGAGGAGCTGACCGAAAGGGAAATAAGGGGAAATCAATCCGTCTGACAGATGGGCAGACGGGACGGGCGGGTGGGGGCTTGGGGCAGGGGTGGTAGAACCCAAAAGATCTCCCCCTCCCCACACACCTTCAGAACCTAATTGTCTGTCAATAAAGACATGCCGAGTGTGTCTCTGTGTGTGTTGGGGGAGGGGTGGATGAGAGCTGGTGGAAATAATGAACCTTGGAGGATTTGTTTTTCAAGTATATCTCAGAGGCATCTTTGTGGGACACCTCCCCACCCCCAGCCATGACAGACAGCCCAGGCAAACTACCAATCAGGAAGGACAATCACCTACAAGTGTTTATGGGAACTGAGGGGCTGGGATCCCTGGGAAGGAGCCTGAATAAATCTGATGGGGATAATGAAGTGAGGCACCGTGCTGATGCCATTTAAAGGCCCTTGCGTGTGAACCAGAGGCCTACCCCTCACTCGGCTGAAATCCCGGTGTAATGCCGGGCATGATTGCCTCTGAAACAGGGACATCTGATCTGGTGAATCATTTATTGTCCAATACCATTTCGTAGGTGGCCTTGCGTGCCTAAAATAGGGTGAAGGTAGACGGCGACCTTGGCCCCAAACCACCGTTGTGTGTACACACAAAGAGGAACTGAGGGGCTGGAAGGGGGGATTGGTGGGCGCCTGGGGGAGCCCCACAATCAGACTAAGGGTGAAAACATGCAACAGTCAGTTCTCTGGCTTCACAGCCTAGATTAAAATGAGCTCTTATGCTAGCCCATGCTGTCGTTCAGGACTCACTGATTTGTTCTGGGGAGGGGGGTGGGGAGCACTTTTAAAAAGTGGCATAAGTACTTGGTTCTCAGGCAGGTGATTGATTGCACCGTTGAGCTGAAAAACAAATAGGGCTGAATAAGAAAGCCTTGAAACAAACAGCTATGTGAGACTGATAAAGGAAGGTTCTTAGATATCAAAATAGCTGGTGGGAGAAATTCCATTTGATGAGTCTTTTTCACTCTCAGAAATATAGGAAGATTTCACTTTTTACAAGAAGGAAAAAGAATTAGTACGAAAACAGGTTTTGTAAATGCTAACAGCGAATTACTGAGACAAGAAGCAAGCTGACAGCCGCAGGAGGAAATAACTCGTGACTGTTTGGAACCTACACCATAGTAAATTTGCTATTTTTAGTGTAGAGAGAAAGGGAGTGATTTTTTGATGCTGGATTTATTTTAATTTTAAAGACTGACCTACTAGAATTTCTATGCAAACATGAGGTCTGGGTGTGAGGCTCTTCCCTGACACAGGGCATCTCTCTGGCCTTGTATGGAGCTAACAATTTTTTTATCTTTCGAAATGTAACTGTTAGTATATAGATCCTGGTGGTTTTTGGTTTTTGTTTTTTGTTCATTTATTTAACCATTTGGTTGCAAAATGTTTTTAGAAATTTTATACTTCATTTAAATTTCTGAGGTATTAAGTGGCAAAAGCAGGAAGAACTGACGACTTTGATTTTAGTTTCAGGAAGGTTTTTAACTTGATTAGACAGAAGTGAAGGTGGCAGTTTAAAAATCAGGTTGGTTTAGCCAGGCACATTAAAGCTCGCTCTTTCTTTTTTCTTCATGAGATTAGCTTAAAAACTTTGGCAACTGTTTTCATAGACATTAGTTTATTTGGAAGAGTGAACCCTGAAGTTGGCCAGGTCTTTTTTACACTGTATCTCTCCTGCAGCCAGACTGTTGATCTCCTCATGCAAGAGTCAGGATGTCGTTTAGAACATCCTTCTGCTACCAAATTCCGAAATCATGTCATGGAAGGAGACTGGGATAAGGTAAAGTAGGGCCTCTAGAGCTGTGTGACTGCTGCTAAAATTGCGTATCCAACGTGCATGCTGTGACCTTTCTGTTTTTCTCTTATGCCACTTTTTGCAGGCAGAGAATGACCTGAATGAACTAAAGCCTTTAGTGCATTCTCCTCATGCTATTGTGGTAAGAGGCGCACTTGAAATCTCTCAAACGTTGTTGGGAATAATTGTGGTAAATACACTTTTGTTCTTAGTTTCACATTTATGCTTATTTTAGTAGGCTATTGATAACTGTAGGCTTCTGCCTCTGATAAAAGATAAGGCCTAAAAACAACTGAACTTTATGTAATTGCATTTGTAAACTACGATGAGTGTGTTGATGATGTCTTAAAGTTTGAGTTTTGTATTTTTAAAATCATGTGTAGTACGTGTGTCATTTGAACCTGGTTTATAAATTACCCTATAAAATTGAAAGGTCATGCTTTTAGTGCTATTTATAGGAGTTTTATACTTCTAGAGTCAAGGATAAATTATATATTACCTAAACTACTGAATGTGCTGGTAAAGAATGTGTTTGGATGTGTGTATATAGAGCCTTAAGTAGCTGATACTTTAATTTTTTTAGTCGTTGAGAATTATAGTTCGTTTGAACCAGCCCCATTGGTGTGCTTACCATTTTCCAGTCTTGCATTCCAGTTGTGTGAATTGACAGTGTCAAAGTCTGTGATATTGATGACTCTTGTTGGGGGGTTTGTATGTCTATTTGACCACTGGGCTCTACTCACTGGCCTTATTTCCCCAACAAAATCAATCTGGTAGTTTGCCTGTTAGCATCTTTCATAAGTCTTAATGAGTCTCTTACCCTGATAGGCTTTAATTCTTCAGTAGATGTGGGTGAGAGAGAGGAGGGGATAAGGTCTTCTCATAAGTGCTTGTGACTGGGAACCGGGAAGAATCAGCTGCTAGCCTCTGCCTACTGGCTTCTTGACTTCTGGCTGCTTGATTTGTTGTCAAAAGCAGTTTCCTGTCTGATGGGGGAGGGAAAGAGGGTGAATGGAAAGTGAAGTAGGGAAACCAGCTGTTTGTTAAATATTAGTAATAAGTGTTATTTTGATTTTTTTTTTAAATTGGGTCAAATGTTAATCTTTCTGCCTTTGTCTGTAAACCTGAGAGTCTCCTGTTTTCATTTTGGGGTTTTTAAAAAAGCTTAATTACACAAGAGTTTTCAAATTCTTAATGTAATTTTATATAATAATATAATCCTAGAGAATGACCTTCAAGTGAACTAAAGGTACAAACAAATAATGAACAGATGCAGGTTAATTTAGATTGATGATCTTTGTATTATCTTTTTTCTTTCAGTAAATATTTAAAATACTAAAATTTTTAACTATTAGTGAATCAGATGACTTATAATTAATTAACTCACAGAATAATCAATTCCATGGTAAATTTAAAAAAAAATGAAAACACAGAAGTTAAAATAAACATCTATATTCAAAGGGATTACAAATTTTCCAGTGGCTAAATTTTTCCCAATTAGTGTGTTTGGAGTTTTAAAAAGAAAAACGCCTAGTACATTTTAACTGGGCAGTTTCTCATTAATGTTAGCTCTGACAGATTGAAAGGTGACCCTCAAATAAAATAAAGGCAGTTGAGTGGCCAGATGAGAATTGGATAAGAGAGCGCCACTTGTGCAGTGACAGCACAGGCCAGGCCCCCACGGGTTGTTTTAAATAAGGTGCGGTTTCTTGGAGGACTGTCTTCCTTTTTTTAAGCTTCTTCACCCAAATTATATCTATAATTTAATGGTAAAAAAAATTTGCATAGGCTTACTTCCTATTTTTTTATGGCTTGATAATAATTTGAGACTT